ACCGCCGGATTTGTTCGCTCGAGAGCGTCCCAGAAGGTATCACCAGGGGTTTCGGAGAGCTCGACGGGAGAAGTTTCGTGATTGCGGGCTTCCTTGTGAAACTCTTCTCCCCTTTCACCCGGGACTTTCCGTTTTCCTCGTCTCACCTCGAGAAGAGCTAACGTCCTCATCGCCTCCTTTTCCTCGACCAGATCTTCTCGCTCTTGATCCGTGGGATCAGGGAGGCCAAATAAACAACAACATTGGTATTCCTCTAGTATATATTTCTTTTTCCTCTTGTTAAAGGAATTGTTGTCTTTTAAATTCTTCAATTCCATTTCGATCTCGGCAAGTCGCTGTTTTTGGTATGGATCAGGAACTTTATGATGGGTTTCTGGATCTCCCTCCCCCTCATCTCCACGACTAGTTGGCTTTGTGGGGATTTTCTTTCTTTTCGACTGCCGGTCGTTTCTCTTCCACTTCTGCCTCTCCTGGAATCCCGCTAGGGTTTCATCATCGTTGGGACTTTCACGCCTACCGGTTGATGCGGTACTGGATTGAGGATTGTCGATTATAACCATCCTGTCTTGGAAAAATCCTAGCTTGGAGTGGTGGCAGTGGATCGAAAAGGTTCTGAAAGCTTGGAAAAGTTTTGTGACACAAACCCTAATTTTCGAGTCCCACTGGGCGTGCCACTTGATGATGCCTAGAATTGCGCCTCTGGCTTGGTGGTGGAACTCTGATAAGGATTTCCTGTAAAACAGAGCCTCGGGGCTTCCCGAGGATACACACTCCGAAACTTAAGTCAGAAAATGGGGTTGCGAAATAATGTGTATATGTGAATTGGTGCTAGAGATAGCGTACCTCAATTGTGGTGCCTTCATCCCTATTTATAGGCATAAAAATACCCTAAGGGAACCTGAATCCTACTAGAGTTTAGTCATGTTGCCGCCCTATTGGAGTCGGTCAAGCCTCTTACTCGGTTAATGAGCCAGTCCAATATCGGTGGTGGATACCTAATAAATGAACCACAATTCAACCCTTCAACAGTGACATGGTCTGCTCATCCTTCTTCTTCGAGCCGGCCGAGATTGCAGCTATGACGACACACCTACCGCATCACCTGAAAAATAAGCGCACCAAATTCGAGGTCCTCACCGCTTTTCTACGGCGCTGTCGTGCGCAGCCCTCCAACTCAACCCAGACTTAGAGGTGAGACCATTTTTTTATAAATGCTCGTCCTATATTTGATCCTCCATTGCCAAAAGGGTACTACGGAAACGTTTTGACCATTCCAATGGACCATATATGAAATGGCTAATTAACTATTAAGTTTATTTCAACAATTTTGTCAGTTTCTCCTCCTACGTCTCCCACATTTTGAACATAAATCTAATGATAGAATTTGGATTTATTAATTTATTTTGATTGATTGCCATTGGAAAATACAATTCTACCAATGAAATTCAATCATTTTGACTACATAACGTTATTCAATGCTAAATATTACCATTAAAGACTTCAAATTTATGTTCCTAAAAAAGTGCGTATCGGATTATATATAATAGAATGAGTTACCTTCTAAAATTATTTCTCACTTTTGATTTTCACTTTTGATTTCATGTCTTAGGTACGAAACATACTACGGCAATGTTCTTCCCTCGGTCCCGGGAAGTGTTACTCAGAACGGAGGTATAACAAAGATGATGATGCATTACTCGTAGAAGAAACTCAACTAGTGGGCATCACGTTGCCGACATCTAGGCTCCATTTGGACAAGGTATTTAAAAATAACTTTAGCATTTTAGGAGTGTAAAATCCATTTGGACAAAACTGTTAGGGTCTTTTCTGAAAGTTCTTCGGTAAAAAAAAATGTTCGGAGTAGAGTTTTAAGAACATAGGTAGGGGTTTTTTTTCAAATTAATTTTCAGAAAAGACTTTCTATAAATGAAAAGAAACACTTTGCGGATCTCAATGGAGGATTTAAACTGAGGTATAGCAATGTGGATACGATATATATACATAAAATTGGGGTAATAAACAAGAAATTATCTCCTCATGATTTGAAAAATCGCACAAAAACTTCCCCATGATTTAAATTTTAAAGAACACATGACCACCCCGTCATGATTTGCTTTTTACATGGGAAAGTTCAATGGATATGTTGGGCAAAATGTGTGACCGGCCTAAAGTTAAATGATAGTCATTTATAATCAGCCTAAATATATAACTGACTGATTGGCTAGCTATATTATTTGTATTTGCCAAATACTAATTTTATAATGTGATTTCTCTTTGTTACAAAATAACTATCTAATTTTTGCATTATTTTCAATTCAATAAACATGTAATAATTTTAGCCGTCAACGAACATGACGAAACAGGCCGAGATTATTTTAATTAATTAGCCGCTAATGAAGATGATGAAACATGATTTCAATATATATTTCATTCAGGGAAGCCAATTTTGAATCGATTTTCCGAATTGTTTGTCCACTCTTGTTGTTGTGGAATATGTTTGTTGAACGCTGGATCCAAAAATAAAAACTAGATTTGTTGGTCAGTCGTTTTCTTGTGGAATTTTTTTTTTCTTTGTTATTCCATCATTCAGATTTAATTTAAGTAATTAAGTCCTTTTCGGTTTCAAGAGCCAAAATTCCCTCAGTAAATTTTTAGTTCGATAAGCATGTCGTCTACGTCCGGGTTTATACCCGGGTTCTAAATCACTTTTTATAAATCGTCATCACTTCAACACATTTCTTCCTTAACCCTCCTCCCTTGTAAAGAAATCCATTTCTTTCAACACCAATTTCATTAATTAAGTACACCGTTTCTTCATTAATCTTCCATTGTGGTAAATTATCCAACCATCTTTTTTTCTTATTTATTAGTCAATATTGTATCCGAAAGGAATCAACCTCGATGATGAAGAGTTTTACGGTGAGGAGGCAAGAGCCGGTGCTTATTCCTCCGGCAATGCCGACACCTCACGAAACAAAACCTTTGTCTGACATTGATGATCAAGAAGCCCTACGCCTTCAGATGCCGAACATATTTTTCTACAAAAGAAAAATTACAAAAGGTGATGTAGAGGATGAGGATCCCGTGAAGGTTATTAAAAAAGCTCTGGCAAAAACACTAGTGTTTTACTACCCATTTGCCGGACGGGTAAGAGAAGGTCCCGGAAGGAAACTAATGGTGGAATGCACCGGAGAAGGCGTGTTGTTTATCGAAGCAGATGCCGATGTGACGCTGGAGGAGTTCGGGGAGGAGATCCGGCCTCCATTCCGGTGCGTGGATGAGCTATCATTTAATGTTCCGGGCTCTGATGGAATCCTTCATACTCCTTTACTTCTCGTGCAGGCAAGATACACACTTTTTTTTTCCTTTTTAAATACTCTTCTCATCAATATTTAAACTCTTAATCTCGTAGTAAACCCTTTTACCATTACACCCATCCCTCTTTATTGCCTCACGCATAAATAACTGTTTGCATATGTACAACAACAACCCAGTGTATTCTCAACTCGGTTAGGGTTTGGGGGTCAAGATGTACGCAGCTTTACTCCTATATATCAATACAGAGAGACTGTTTAAGTAGTACGACCCAAGATGCATTGGTGTATTGATGTATTAATTTCCGAAAAATTCACCAAATTAAGAAGCGCCGGAATTTAAAAGAGCCATTTTGATCTAATCCATTATTAGCACAAAACTGAAAGAATTATCTTACATGTATTTATAATTAAGTTCTTGTGAAGCTTGATGAGATTTATTTGTTAGCTAGCAAAAACTTTAAGTGAAAGCTAATCAATGTAAATGTTCACTGCATTTCTTAATTCTGAATCGAAATTAAACCTTGAATTAAACTGTGTGCATATGTAGTATTCGGCTATTCGCCCTGTAAACTAGTTTGATCACTTTAATCATTTCGAGAGAAATTTTCATATCCCTTTTACCCTATTAAAGCAGAAAACAGGATGCTGATGTGGCAATTTCTTATTAAAATGTTTTGGCTCCAAATGCACCATATTGCATAAACCATTCTGCCACGTGTCACCCCCTTTTAAAAACAAAAAATATATTTACAATATTAACGAAGAGATCAGATAGCCATGTTCATTTTGAATTTGACAGTGAATGGAACTTTCCTTCTCCACTTATTTATGACTTTCGAAAAAATTAATTTTCGATCAATCAATTATTTTCATCAAAAACTAAATTCATTCCTAATCAGTTTCGATTATTTACATATCAATTTATTAGGTGGGAGGACGCCCCCGGGCATTTGCCCGGGCAAGCATCTAGTTTAAGTTAAACTGATACAAGTCCATTTGCTCATTAATCGTTAGTGTGACTACCATGTTTCATTAAATTTAAACAAAAACTTAAGAGCTTGTTTGGCCAAGTCTTATTTTGCCATTTTGTCTCATTTTACCTCTTAAAACACTTCTCAAACACAAATTCTAATACTATCCAAGCAACTTTTTAATTTACTTTTTAAAATTTATTTCAAACATTATTTTTACACCATTTTTTCACCACTGTTAGACCACCACTGTCTGTCGTCAGGCCGCCCACCGCCGCCGCCGGGCAGCCACTAGCCGGCGACCGACTGGCCGGCCGGATTCCGGTCAAATTCTGACCGCCGGAATTTGACCGGAATCTGACCGGCTGTTCGCCGGTCAGAGGCGGTCCGGCGGCAGCGATGGGCGGTCCGGCGGCGACGTCGATGGTACAGGTGATCCGATAGTGGTCTAAAATTATTATTATTTAATTTTATTTAAAATATTACCCAAACAACTTTTTAAATTTTCTCTCAAAACACATTTTAAATCATATCTCAAAATCAAATCTAAAACAAAAACAAAATATTGCACAAACAAGCCCTAGATATCACGTCCATTGAAAAGTCAAATTGAGCTGTACTTATTAACTTTTATGTATAATGTGAATTGGTCATGTAGGTGACTCGTCTTCAATGTGGAGGTTTTATCTTAACCGTACGTCTCAATCACACAATGTCTGATGCTACTGGATTTGTTCAATTCCTCTTGGCCGTAGCCGAAATAGCCAAAGGGGCACCTGCCCCTTCCACCCTTCCAGTGTGGAAGAGAGAACTCCTAAATGCTAGAGACCCACCGAGGGTAACATACGAAAATATTGTTCCAAACTACCCTAAAGAAACCATAGTTCAAATTGTCTGTGTCTCCTTGTTCTTCGGGCCGGCAGAAATGGCCGCCCTAAAAACTTTCCTCCCACATCACCTGAAAAACAAGTGCACCGAATTTGAGGTCCTCACCGCCTTTCTTTGGCGTTGTCGCGCTATCGCCCTCCAACCCGACCAGGACCGAGAAGTGAAACTCGTCTTTTTCGCAAATGGTCGTCCCAAGTTTGATCCCCCACTCCCAAAAGGGTACTACGGGAACGTTTTGGCCGTCCCAGTGGCGCAAACAACGGCGAGGGAGCTGATGGAGAACCCGTTAGGGTACGCGGCAGAACTGGTGATGAAGGCTAAGTCAGTTGTGTCGGAGGAATACGTTAGATCGACGGCGGACATGAATGTTTCCAGGGGACGAAGGCGGAGCATTACGCTGGAACCAAGGTCCATGTTCTTGGTGTCGGACTTAACGCGAGTGGGATTCGCTGAAGTAGATTTTGGATGGGGAAATCCGGTTTACTATGGAGTACCCATAGGCGATGATAAAAATGAAATCCATGCAACAAGTTGCAATTACTCGCGGACGAAGAATAAACAAGGGGAAGAAGGCGTACTAGTTCCCATTTGCTTGCCGAAATTAGCGATGAAAAGCTTTGTTCAGTTGATGAAAAAGTTTATTATGATGAATATCGTGTGGGATGACGGTGATCATAATGATGAAGGAGATCATGTAGTAATAAAGTTCCGCAAATTTAGATCTCTTTTGTGAAAAGTAAAAAATAAGTACTCTTTTTGTCTCAAAATTATTGTCAAATTCTCATTTTTAGTACAAAATGAATTATAAGTAAAAATTCATACTGATAATAATTTTGGAGTATTTTTTTTATCCTTGAATAATTTTTTTTTTAATTAATCCCTTGAAGTTTTGTGCACGTTATTTGGTATACTAATAGCGATTCGAATTGCATGCTCATTTTTATAATAATAATTTCTTAATTTCTTTAATTAATCCCTTAAAATTTTTGTGCATGTTATTTAGTACACAAATAGGATTCGCATGATCCGCGAATCCATAATAATGCTAATGGTAAGACAATTCTAAATTGATTCCCATTTTAAAGCAGGTCAACTGTAAATTGATTTAAGCAGGTGATGAACACAACTAAACCAACCGGCTTTATGAATACAACACGAACGTGTAAAAAAGAAAAAGGAAAAGAAATCGTCAAACAAAATATACTAAATGAAAACATTTTTGTGCTCTTTTCATATGAATACCAAAATCTACCAACGTGCTATGCGAAATGAAAAAGCAATGTTAGAATATCGATATGAAAGAAGAACAAGGTTGTCATATACCCTCTTTCCTACAGCACTATAGCTTGTTACCACATATTGATAACAAATGTATCTAAAAGAAAACTCTTCTGATAGTTATATAAATTTTCCAAATACAAGTAAATGTGGTTCCATATTTAACTACTGATAGTCCAAAATTATCCCAATATAACGTTTTTTTTTTAATCTTTGTATAGGTTAAAAGGGGATCAAGATTTTATATCTGTCAATTTATTGTGTCATCGTGTAATTATATGGCTTGAAACTTAGGTGCATCGTGCTTGCATATGGACTAAAGATAACTGTAAAGAGTAGATATACATCATAGTCTTGTAATAAGGTTTAAGTTAATATTTTAAAAGTTAAACGATCATTTGGATAAGGTAAGAGTTTATTTGGTGTGTATGAAAGGAACTGTTGCCTCCTTCATTTATAGAAGCACATGGGGTTCCACCTTAAAACCAATTGGCAATAAGTGGAATAGCTAATGATACTTATATACTGATACAAAGTGTCTTTAGACACCGATGTGGGATAAATACTTCAACACTCCCCCTCAAGCCCAATTGGCTTGGATTAAATCACCAGGAACAGGAAAATAATCGTGGAATAACATCACGGGCCACGGAATAACGTCGAGGACTTAAATTGGTCCACGAAATAATATTGTGGGCTTAAATCACCACATGCCGAACCTGCTCTGATACCATATAAAAACTTATGGGGTTCTACCTCAAAACCAATTGCCAATGAGAGGAGTAGTCTATGGTGCTTATATATTGATACAAAGTATCTTCAGACACTGATGTGAATAAATACTTCAACATCATTATATGAAAAACCACAGGCCGAACCCGCTCTGATACCATATAGAAATCCATGGGGTTGCACCTCAAAACCAATTGACAATGAGATGAGTTGCCTATGGTACTTATATATTGATACAAAATGTCTTCAGACACCGATATGGATAAATACTTCAACATCATTATATGAAAAAATAAAAAAATAAATAAAAAAAAGAGTCCGACATATATGGACATTCATTGATTAATCTAGTGGCATACAATTACATACGAAAAAAGAAAGAACATTTAGGTATTCTGTAGTTAATTTGTATAACAAAACTTAATTATTGTGTGTGAAGAATAAAGGACAAAACTGTTGGGATATGTAACTCATGTGGGCAAATAATATTTTGCTCCTAGGAACACATTGATACATGCACCTGCTAAACAAGTGTGGTTTTTATCCCATATTTTTAGCCATTATCTGCTCACTTATTTTGTTGGCACACGTTTTTTTTTTAAACAGTTTTTTTATCCATCTTTTTCATATTTATCAATTTGGTAAATTGGATATGGTTTATCATCAAGACTTATGAATCTGAAGAATTAGTTGGAACTAAAAATTTCAATTGATTAGCAATGCAGTCCAGAGAATTAAGCGTCAAAATTGAACCATTTTAATAGATAACGATATTTATTTGGATAAATAATGATATGTTTATCTATGAATAATGATAATATTGTAGCTGAACAATAGCGTTCTTGTAGTGTCAAAGTTATGGATCAATAAATTTAAATTTTTTGAAATGAAGAACGATATTCACAACAAGGAATGAAGATGCAAATCTTGATGAATAATTACTGCATCCTAGATGAATAACAATTCGAAAATGAAAAATAGATGTAGTTTTGTTAGATGAATAATTGTACTTTAATTAATGAGTAATATATCCTTAATGGATGAATAACGCGCAAGAGAATGAATAACTTTGATCAAGAAAAATAACAATATTATATTTTACAATGAGTTAATGTCAGCAACTAGGCTAACAAACTTCTAATCATGTTATTATACTATACCAAAATCGAACAAATAAAATAGTCATTGTTTTCAACATAGAAGGTCTTGAACAATTGCTGATGCTCGATACATTTATATTAATTATTTGATTTCAGCAATTCTGCCAAATAGTTGATTCCCAACCGATCGAGTTCATTTTGATGAGCATTTCTTTGTCGTTGATTAAACAAAGAGAGTATTACAATAAGTGAGATTTCACATTCAATCAAAATTCTTTTTTGACTAAAATATTGATTAATTGACAATGGTTTAAGAGATTGGTAACTATCAAACCTAATCCACTTAACATTAGGTTATGTTATAGTATACAACATAATCCACACCAAAGTACTGCAAAGTATATATTAAATGATGAATAATCACCAGAAAGAAAAAATCAATTTCATCCAAAAAAAATTACATAAATTTAATCTAGTTAACACGAAATACATGATGAATAATAGTGTTACTGAAGATGAATAATCATATTAAAAAAGATAAAAATCATCAAAGTTACATAAACCTAATCTAGTTAATAATAATCGTGTATCAGATTATGAATAACAATATCACTGATGATGAACACATTTTTCAAGATGAATGCGCCTATCTACAGAATGAATACCACATGTGCAAAAGGATGAATTACACAAGTTTACATGATGAATGAGAAATTCGCATTATAAATGACACATGTTGACACGATGAATAATATAATTTTACAATATTAACGAAACATATTTATAACCATATACAAGCACAAATTACATGATGAATAATATATCGCTAAGATGAACGATGTTTACTGGATGAATAACTCAGGTTCAAATAATGAAACAAATTACGGGATGAATGACAAACGTGAACATAATTACATTCAATCAATCTTTAAATGAATAACATCATAATTGAGGATGAATAATTATTATATTTACATACATTCATTCAACACCAAATGTCTAGAATTAAAGAATACATAATGAATAATGTCATAACAGATGATGAATAATCATGCTCAACAGGATATATAATTATCATCTCTACATAAACCTAATCCAAATCAAAATATCCATGATGTACAAGTTACATGATGAATAATGAATTCATAGACGATGAATAATCATGTTTAATATGATGAATAACGGAACACAACCCCAAATCGTATAACATATTCATAAACCACAGATTACATTTAATTGAAATGATGAATAATCATCGTTACTTGAGACACAACATCAGAAAGGTCAAGCTTTTTTTTAATGAATATTCATGCTCCAAATTTTGGGGTGAGGAACTAGTCGAATTTCACAGGCTTACTGTTTGTAGACGAAAGCAACAATGGTTGTAGAATATTTAGATCTGAAATTTGTTCTTCGCCACAACAGATGTGAACCTCCGGCGATTCACCGTACGGATTCGAATTGTAGATCGAAATTGTCAAACCGATGCTTTGTGAATTCCAAACGAGATTCGCCAGACAAATTTTTGAATTGACATTCTAAATCGGAGGTTTTGAGAATCGGTGAATTGTAGATTTCAGAGCGGTGGTTACAGGAGGTTTTGAAGAACGGCAGAGTAATGGGGGAAAAATTGAGATAGTTGGGTATTTATATTTTTTTAACATAGCGCGTGTGTCACAAATGGGTGGTTTTTTTTTTGTAATTATTGGTGTTTGGGGAAATCTTGAGGCGCGTGAATTGCGCACTAGGAACACTTTACAATGTGTTCCTAGGTGTTGTATATTTTAATTGACTCATGTTACTGGTTAATAGTCAATTACAAGCTGCAATTAAGCTGCATTCCGTTTGGTGTTTATCAAATTATTCACAATTTTATCCAAAACGGACTATTAGAACTAATTTTAAGGACAATAGGCTGCATTGTTAACGGATTTGGAGCAAACTTATGGATTAAAGGAGGTGACTAAAATTGAAAAGGTGCACTAAAATGGTATTTTTCCTCCAAAAATATTTGCAATCACAAAACTATATCAAAACTAGAGTTGGGACCGCAAAAGGTATAGTTGAAGCACTTAGGTAGAGAAAAAAAAAATGAAGAATTTAGCAAATATTGTTTCAAATGGTTAATTTACAAAGAATTGGAAACATCAAACCAAAATATATCCGAAAAGCGAATGTGTTGTTAGAGTTGAAGATTTATTCACCACAAGAGTAAATTGGAATTTTAGATTGGAGCTTCTAGTAAGTAGATTATGTTTCTACTGCTTCTTCCATCAACTAAACTACTATTGTCTATAAAGAATGAACCCAAGGATCCTTAATTCAAAATCGTACTTCAATGCTATGTTACTCCTACAAATATTGTGAAACCGAAGGACTTACATCTCACATTATATATTTTTTTTAAACATACTGTCCCTCGTACCCAATCTCCAGAGCCATTCACATCATCGGCTTCTTTCCCACTTAGGCCTTTGTACATATTTTTATTTTCACCTTTCCAGGCATAAGGATTAAGGAACACTCCTCTCCTTACGTGTCGAATTCCTCAACTCTCAATTGAGCTAGCATTAACATTGAATGCTCTTTCTTTTCTCCCTTATAAGAATTTAAATTTAAATAA